GTCATGCAGCACTGCTGGCGAGAATTGCCAAGCCACAGGCCGTCGTTTACTGAAATACATGCTCGGTTACGTTCCTGGGAAGGAGTCCCAACAACAAACCACAATGGTTCGCTAAATCACACAGTATTGAATACAGAGACTGCCAACACAACAATTACGCCATTATTGAACCACACGTCATCCTCATCGTCACATACCCGGTCTTCAGACAGGTCGTCATCAGTGTCCCGTAGCAACCCTTCAATAATTCTACCGAATGGGTCATGCAATAACACAAACCACACAGAAGTTTAGAAGTACATTATATTATATAAAGACTGAGTATACTCTAATGTATATATATATATATTATAGAAACATTTCTTCATGAAGTACAAGACATTTTTTTTTACATAGGGCCAAGGCTTGCCATCTCAGAAAAAAATAAAACATTTAGCTTTTTTCCTATTTTTTTTTGTAAATTTGTAACAGTTTATTTCTATTATTTAGTAAAGTTTTTTGTGAGATATTGTTTTTTCATTATTTAATTTAATGGCCATGTATATTAAGATAAAAGTGAATTCAGCAATTTAATTGACTGGTACATTTTTTGTCTCACTTTTTGTGTTTTTTCTTTTTCTGTTTGATTGAGTTAAATAATTTGCTGCTAATATATAATAGACTAATTAATATAAAATAAAAATTTATAATAAAATGGTTGATAATACCATTGCAGCAGCAGCCTCTATTTGCTATAATCACGTTTTGGCGCATTTTTATTCTGACCCTTGTGACATGTGACAAAAAATACGGTAGGAAAACTGAAAATTGTAATCATAAAAGATATTAATTTCAGTCTAAACAGTGACTGCTGCTGCAAATTACTTTTAAAAAAATAGTAAAAGTTTTTCAATTGTATATACACTATGTAAAATGATTTTTCTGTTAACGCCATGAAGCTCATGTCGACTGCAAGCTTTATATATTTCGTCTGTGAATAGAGTGCTGTAAAAAAACATCACTGACTGTGTGAAATCAAAAGTAATTTTTCTATTTTTTTTTTTATGTCTCTGTAAATATTCCTGATTACTATATGGCTGCAAAGTGAAGTGTCTTGACTGGTTTAACCATTTGAATGCCAAAGAAAACTTTCACAACATAAACTTATAATAATATTTTTCTTATTTTAGGAAGTGAGGATAGATAATGACCATTTGGACCAAAATAAAACAAAAATTTCCAAATTGGTGGGAAACATGTCAGACTACCATTCGTAAGTGTAAATGAATAAAATGTAACCACTAAGTTTCCATCCAAAGTGATGATAATCTGTAGGGTCATTGAAAACAGAGGATGTTATCATTGGTAACTGATAACAAAATAATTTGAAGTTGCTCTGAGAAATAATTGGTTGCTGTAGCCAATTACTATAGCTTGCAGTAAAAGTTGATATGTTCCAATTAAAATATGACTAACTTGTATTCATTAATCTAATTAACACACATCTGAAATGACATTTGTGGTATTCAGTAATGCATTGTGCACATCACGTAGAAAGCTGCAATGTTTTTAAAAAATATTCTGTAAACAGTTTATTCCTCTGTTGGTGGTCAGTGCTCAGGGACTTGTCATTATTCATCCAGGGGAGGGATCTGAAAGGGAGAAAATAAATTACAAACAATGTTTATTACATTTTAGGTAAACAGTTAATATAAATGAATTGTTTGATTATTTAGTTGAGGTAGGGCACCACCTCCTCCCTTCTCAAATGATGAATAATGATGATGTATTCCTATAATTGAAGATTTGTTTTGTTGGAGATTTTTGTGGTTGTCACAACAATTGATAATTTAATGGTATATTTGTTACTCGTATAAGAGTTTTGTAGTATATATGTATATAATATACTTTAGTCATGTGATATCTGTTTCTGTGCGGTTTGATATCGACGTCTAAATATTAGGATCAGTGTGCCCTCTAAGTTCATATCAATGAAACACCATTGACACACAAAGATTTGCTGTGAAGGGAAAAATACATTGATATAGTGATATTGAAAAACATCTTAATATAGTTATGAAATTCGTAATTTAGTAAAATTAAATTCTCATTTTATAAACAAAATAAGTAAATACAAATGAAATCGGGGGATACAACATTTTCTACTAATATAGTCACAATTTAATTTTTTCCTGAAGACAGACCTCCTCCAGTAGTCAACAACCTGACTCAACTTGATTTTGGGGGATTCTATTTGACTCAAGATTTTTACAAAATCATTTTTGTTAGATGGCACACTGATTAGGATTTCTATGTATAAGATGTCTGAAAACTTAGGTACATTTATTTCTGACGTAAGAATGTATAATAAGATGTAGATTAGATGCATTAACTAGGGGAGTGGTGATTTGTAATGGTATTCTGAGGAACTCTTCAATATCTCTAAGTGAAAATAAGTCAGTGTTGATAATATGAGTGCAAATTGTATTAGAAGCATAACTATGTCTTGTCATTCAGTGCTTTGAATAGTTACCCCCCCCCCCTTCCTCCTTGTACATAAAATTATATTGTTTAAATCCTGTGATGCTGGTTACCAGTGATATTTTATACTAATTAAAACAAATTTTATTCTCATAAAAGTGTAAATTAAAAAAAAGATGGTACAGATTCTGTTAAAAAAAATAATCTGGATATTATAAAAATGAGATGTACGCAGTAAACAGGTCTTACAGACTCCCCCCCTGGTTTACTCTTTGACTGATAAGCACTTCTAAATTCTCAGGTTGAAAGACAAAGTCAAGTTTTGTCAATTTCACAAACCAATCTTTTGATTGAGACAATTATATACATTTTGGTCAAAATTAACAAAGAATTCATAGAAAAATACATAAATATGGGCAAATGTTACATCACAATTTTGATCGGTTATGACATTTTATTATTTTTCTGAATTTACCTAACCAGTTTTCTGCCACTGCTGTCGTCTCAGAACTTTCAACCGATGTTACCTGCAAACCTGTTAGTTTAGTGGTAACACTAAGTTTGGTCTTTAGATAACAATCCAGTAAACTGCCTCTTAAACTGTGAATGGTGAGCATTGCCAGCTTCCATGGTGGTCAAATTAAATGATTCTTTAAAAAGTTGTTGTATATCTGTATTACAAAACAATTGAAATAATATTGAAAATGCATTTTTTTTTTGACTATAAAAAGTAACTTAACAATTTGGGTTATTTATTTAAACTGCAGTTTAGTTGTCTTTCTACCAAGCTGTCAAGTGATTTGTTTATATGCTCATATATTTATAGCCTTATCGGGTACATTTTAGAAAGTGAATAAACAAAGCATATGAATATTTAATGACGTACAGACTCCATTGTTATTTTTGGATAATTCATTGTTGTCAGTGATGATTGATAATGCTATTTCAAGCAAGCATGCATGAATAAATGAGCAGATGGTGTGAAAGTATAAGATAATGTTCTTGGATATGGAGTGATTACCGTAGTCAACTGGAGTTGTAGACTGATTGTGTTGGCATCAACGTGTACAAGTGTTTTCAGGTTTCTATTGTTTACATAACATTTCCATATTAAAAATATTACAGGTGGACAATGTTAGACTGCTTTGTGAACTCATTTTGGCTCAAGTACAATTCTGATGGTTTGAGTTTGTGATTACATTTTCCAAAGATGCACACAAACAAAAGTGAAGTGATGATTCAGTGAAAGTAAAATTCAGCAAATATTTAATTATTGGGTATATATTTTACGCCATCTCGTCAAAAATCGATCAAAAAGAATTCCAGCTAAAATAAAGTATTTTACAGTACATATTCTTCCTGGTACTAATTTCTTCACTGTACTATCTATCTGCCATATGGCAGGTTATGAGTACAGGAGTTCAATCAATAAAATATAAAACTTGTGTGGTCGCTAAGGTGGTCGCTGAAACTCCCTACTTTCAGGAAGAACAAGCAATCAGAGTGGAGGTTTGTATAGCAATAGTGGCAACATGTAAGTGCTTGGTAAATTTTTTCTTGGTAGCTTTTGAGTGATTGTCCGTGTCAACTTTTTACTTTTTCGACTTTTTGTTGAAAACTGCAAGTCTGATTGCTTTGATATTATACATACGAGCATACAAGTATCTCGGGCAGACCTCTCAGATTTGTTCATAACATGCTGATATCTTCCAATCTCTAATTTTGATGATCATTTTTGGAAAAAAGTGATATTTTTTACTTGTTGAAAAACCTCAAGTCCGATTGTTGCTTTGATATTATACATATAGGTACTACAGGTAGACCTCTCTCAGATTTGTTTATTTTCTAATTTTTTGAAATGTGCATTACTAACAGCAGAGCTATCTCGGAGGCTACTTGTTTCCATTAGATATTAGTAATACTTCGTCAATCTGATTGTAATACCTAAATACATGCATAGCAACATAAGTACCTGGCAGCTAACGTGCCTATTTCTTTGTTTAATATTTTTCATTCAAAGACACAGCCAGGTGCTGGGGATTTTCTTGGTTATCAAAGAATTATCCAGAACTCTTAGCGCAACAACGAAGCCATTGACTTTTATCTTATAAATATTTATAAATTTCACAATTCAAACTGAAATGGTTTTTATTGGAGCTTTTTTCAAATGATGTTGTTGTGCATTGTGCTTGTTGATTGTCTGGTTTGACTATTAAAACTACTGTTGAAATTTAAATATTTATGAAGATGACGGGAATGTTTTTGTTGCTCTATTATAGCTCCTTGGTTGCCTCAAGAGTCTGATTGTAAACTAAGTTTGGTTCAATATTGACAAAATTAGCTATCCAGAAATTTGGAGAAGACACACACACTAAAAATGCAAAGGCTCATGGGTAGATGCTTGTTTGTAAACAATGACACGCTATAGCCATCTGACGCATGCGCAGGTGACGACTTCCCCGCTTTAAAGCAATTCGATAAGATGTGTTTATCCTGCACCATAAATATTACCGTCACGTACATGTATAGTATGTAATAGTCGGACGCTTTCTTAAACAATAATATGCAAGTACAGGTAACATAGGATTGTGGGTAATCGCAGACACTGCAGTGCAGCAGAAATAACATCGTACGTAACCGAAATCCAATTTTGCTTTAATGTATTCCCTGTATCATATAAACTAATGCGCGGTGAAAATTGCTCAGGTAAGAACGGCACGAGTAGTAATGGCACAGTGTCTTGATCTGACAAATAAAAACAAAGACTGTTTCTGTTTAGCATTCATAATGTAGTTGGAAATGTATAACACTGGTATTTTAGACTCTTAATAAACCTTGGCAGGTTTGAAATAGATCTTTTTATTATTGTTGGAAATATCTGACATCAAGGTCTTTTTACACACTTTTAGCATGGAGGTAGAACTTTTCTATCTCCATGCTTTTAGTAAACTATGGTTACAAAAATGTAGATGTACGTTTCGGTCACATACATATTTTTTATCTTATTGGCCGAGTTCTTGTACTCATGCGTTACATGTACAGCATATTTATAATATTTACTAATAATTTGTACGTTGTGGCCATTTATGAACGGCGACTGAGGGCTCGCTCTTTATTAAAGGGCAGTGGTCGTAGCGCCATGCATGCGCTAGATATGGGTCTCGTATTTGCTGCAGTTTATGCAGCTCTCTTGGTCGTGGTATACGTTGCGGGGCGACTATGGCCGCAACGTAATATCAAAATAGCTTAAGCGGCCAATAAGAGCTGCTAAACTGCAGCAAGTCTCGTATAAACCTCAGACTACTATAGAGTCTGAGTACATGTATAAACAAAGATGGCGACTTCGACTGTTACACAAATCAAAGAGTACAAAGTGGGACGTTACCAAGCTTTAATTAGGTATTTTCAGGAGATTGGGAGGTATCGAAGGAGTCACCGATGGCAAATGGTGCAAATTGCACTCAGGTCAAAACTCATACTTGTGATTTCCCATCAGAAGAGCACGTTAAATTATCGGGAAATCAATGTTTATCAACACAAATGTCGCAATTGTGCAGCGCAACGACCACCACCCTTTAAAAAGGAAATGATGCATTGTTCAGACGAGCCTGACAAAGTCGTGTGAGTTGCACCCTCAGCGGTGCCACTCACGCTTACATATTCCATGGAGCTCCATGCATATTCAAACTGGATAAACCTAATTGGAATTGTTGCTGTGTGCTGCTCTGAAAATGATTGGCTAATTTTCTTATTGCGTTGATCTTTGTACATGTTCGTCGCTAGAGGGCGTTTGCCATTATATTTTGAGATGCCACCGAGTCTTGCTGACTGAACATTCTACACATGAAGTTCATTATTTCTCAGAGGTCGCTTGTGTGCGAAATACTCAATAAAAATCAGCTGAATTGAAAAACGAAATGCGTGAATTGTTGAGCTAGATAATGAAAACACAGCAAAACGTTCAGTACAAGTTAGAAATTTTCAATAATGCTCCAGTCTAAATCAAAAGAGCTAACCATTTCTTTCCATACATGAAACATTTAGCTATGAATAGTTCTATTGATCGATCGACAGAACAATCTAGAATTCTGCAATATTTTTATGCTTTGCCGTCGCTGCACTTTGAACATACCCGCTTTCTCCAGTCAGAGCGAAAACATAGATCATAGTACAGATCATAGCAGAAAATAGCATGTATTTTAGCGAAATATTTGACTACGATCATTGCTGAACAGTACGCCGCTATAAAAAAAAAACTTCAATTACGTGTTACCGCTCAATGGTTATGGTGTACAGACATATTAATCTTTATTGTAAGTTTTTGAATGAGGGCGCAATTCAGAAGACTTCTCCGCGTCATCACAATAATGGACAGCATCAAATCAGCAATACTACCATCTAATTGGCGTACACATTTGCACATTGAAAAGTGTAATTTGATTTCGGTCGCACCATTCTCAAGAGAAGATCTGATCTTACTTTTATACTTTGTTCTTTCTTATTTTACAAACCAATAAACCATTCGATATAAAAACATAGGGAGTCTATAGGGAACGCGGGCGACCGGTGGGATTTTAAGTAGCCCTGCGCACATGTTTTTTTTTTTTAGGGATGGTATTTAAACGAGCACTTCCACACTCGCAGACATATACACTGAGCTAAATTTGAAGCATCAATTACCAGTCCAGTATATCATAACCATCCACAATTCAGGTTCACAGTGTTGCTTCAAATTGCAAGGACAGATAAAATTGGGCAATAATTTGACGTTTGCCACTTATTAAAAGCGTCCTATTTTGATGGTGTATAGCGCCCCTTTTTCTAGTCCCCGTTCGGACGCTGTCCGAAAACGGGGACTTATGTTTTGACCTCCGTGTGTCCGTGCGTGCGTGCGTCCGGACCTGTATCTTAAAAATGCCTGGACCAATCACAATCAAACTTCACACATACATCATACATGATATTATACATATGCACGTCAATTTGTTTCACGATCTGATTCAAGATGGCCGAATGTGCTAAAAATCATCAAAATCAAACATTTTTCAGCTGTTTACAGATGGATTTTGTTCAAACCTTGTATACTAGTATACGTTGGACATTATAGGACCTTGATGCACATCATTTTGTTTTACGATCTGATTCAAGATGGCCGAATGGTGGCCATTTTTGTGCTGAAAAATCATCAAATATCAAGCATTTCTGGCATTTATGGATGGATTTCGTTCAAACTTGGTACATACATTAGACATTACAGGTTCCTGGTGCACGTCATTTTATTTTTCAGATTGGAATCAAAATGGCTGACTGGCGGCCATTTTGTTTTAATGATTGGGCTTCTAGAGCCACATCTCTTAAATGCTTTGACCGATTATATATTCAAATTTTATATATTCGTTATACATCATGTTATATATATATATACACATGTATTCAAAATGGCTGATTTTGAATGCTGTTCCAGAGCAATATCCCTCAATATGGACAAGTACTTGTTTGATGATCAGATACAAATGTCAATCATTTTAATGTTAAAAAATCATATTCCTGACATGGTTATATTCCAGCTATATTACTGTAAATAAAACTATATATCTTAAATTTGATAACTAACGGGGTCTGCGCCATGCATGGCTTGTTGATTTTAGCCTATCCTAGAGGGCGGAATATAAAAGTAGATCTGGGTCTCAAGCCATTGTATACAGGAGAAGCAAATATAGGCGTTATTTCAACTAACATGACTAACGTCCGCATAATAAAATTTCTGCTGGTCCAGGAGCGATGTTTGCTGAGATGGTGATTTTTTTATCATGCCCGGGGTGTGTGGTTCATGGAGTACGTACCAAGATACGCCAAGCCTCTAATACTCTGCAAGAATCACTGAAGAATCGTCATGTACGATTACTAAAAATCAAACCAGATATATATGGACTAGACGTACACCGATGAGAATTTTGTAATTATATGACGAGAAGAGAATACCTGCGATTTGTTCTATGTCTGCACAAGAGCGCAGTTTATGAAGTCTAAAACAAATTGTGTCGAGGCTCCAATGCTGGACTTTAAAAGCTTTTGTTACAAGCACGCTGGGGGGAGGGAGGGATAAGTAATTCCATTTAAAAGTAGGTAGAAGACTACAAGTTAGAATGCACAATCTCCATGACGACGGCGGAAACACTATTATATAAACAATTATATCACTCACAAATAACTGCATTCGTAGTATTGCATTCTGAACGACAGTTTTAATAAATAAAATACCATTCTAATACAGGAATCACACAAAAACTTAGTACTAAATCGTAAAATAAGTTTAAAGAGTAAAATAATCTACAAAATAAGGGACAACTCATTGCTGTCCTTTTATACAATTTGAAAAGTCAAAGTACATGAACTAACATTATACAACTTAAAGTATAATGTACAGACATCGGCACAAATTTGCCGACCGCAACCCAAAAACTTCAGTAATCATAAAATTAACTTTTAAGAGAACTGAAACGCAATATGAACTATCATTTTTTTGTTCACATTCTAATTCAAAAGATGACAAAAAGAAAAAAAAAGAAGAAAAAAACATGTAGTCGAGTCAGTGTCAACGTTCTTATCTGCGTCATATTTTCTAAAATATCGGTTACAAAGAAATCACCTCTCACGAGATTGTAAAATGTTTCCGGTGGAGGAATTGCGACACGAAATTAAAAAAAACGTGAAGACACGTATACAACCCTCACTAGGTCGCTAAAACCCAAATGGTGTAATTACAAGTTACATTTCGGTGTTAAATTGAGAATTATTGCTATCTACATTAATATTATATTTCTGTATAATATACAATGTAGCCACATGGCTATACGAAATGTTGTCACACGGGGTTAGTACATTTGTCAAGCAGCATAACCAGGTTGAGGTGGCGCGATTTTAGTTTTAAAAAGCGCCCTCGCATGATGCCAATAATTAATTGTTTTTCACTATTTTTTTTCATATTTCTTAATCTATACAATACTGTTCATAAATAACTTTGTGATAAGTGATATGTCAGGTGATATGGCATATATTTAAGACATTAGCATGCAAACAGCTGATAATGATTTTATGGTAGACCAAATGAAAATTTATTTTCTAGCTGTCTAGGTGCTGTCACATACGTGTAGCATAACCCAATGCGTTCCATTTGGTACAATATTTTGGCTCAGTATTGCATGGATTAACAAATATGAAGAAATCACACAAAAATGCTTCTTGTGTCCTTTAAATAATTACAGACGAATCAGCAAGTTTACCAATAAAAATTATATTATTATGTTATGTTATCACCATAAATACTACACTATTTGAAGTAAAAACAATAAAAATGTTAATAGCAACCATGCACACGTTCTAAAATAATTACAAAACATACTTCGAATAACAAAAAAACCACATTTAATAAATATTTCATACCCAAATGTTGATGTTTCCAAGTTGATTTACGTTTTAATAGCGCTTGACAAGACCCAAACCAGTTACTATTCGAGCCTGCATAGTAACCTCGTTCCGACACAAGTTTTTCAATAATACATTATTCATGAAAAAAACAAAAAAAACAAACAAAAACGCTTAATCTTTTTATTGATAACTGATTGGAGACTGTTCACGGTCACGTGGTATAACTGAAAGACGCAGACAGTCGCCACATCTTGCACAGTTTGGGTAAGATTTTCCATCTTTCTTGGGAATATGCCAACAATAGGAACACCGTACACGATACTTCTTGTATCTAAAAAAAAAAAAACAATACTACAATTTTACTCCTGAGACCCCATATGGGATGAAAGACTGACATGTTCGCATTGGCTCCCTAAATACACGTGACCCCTAACAGCCAATCGTCAATGTAGTATTCAAGGGTTCGACAGATTGCACAACTGCCGTTTGTTTTACAGTTACGTCACACTATATTTGTGGCAAACACCTTATGCTTCCTGCATATAATCGTCTCAGCACAAGCAGAAAGAATATTGATTGGCCAATGAGGTTTTATCACGCGGGCCATACAGTAATTACCACCTGTTACCAAAACTAGCCAATCATAGGCTGCCACGTTCCACGCCGCTAGGAATGTATTACCATGACCAAGAATTTGTTTTGTACACCTAGCCAACAATATCGTCAGTTAATTGGCCGAAAATATAGATGTTTGTAGCATTTGTGCCTCCAATTCTGACAACTATCGACTGGCTTCCTGAAAGTACTGAGCATTACTTGCAACACAGTTGTATTTCAGCCAATTAGCCGACTGTACTTGTGCTAAGCGTACGAAACAATTTCACAGTCAAAAAGAGTAATTTTGTTTACATTGCAGACGATGAACTGGATTTGTTACATCGATGGTGTCAGGCAACTGTGTTTGGAGGGGGTTAAGTATAATGAAACTATCTTACATTTCTGGACATGGTCAGTCATCCCATATAAAAAACATTGTCCATTCCTCAGTACCACATGCAGTTTTAACCTAGTTACTCTAGCATGCAGTTTTAACCTAGTTACTCTAGCATGCAGTTTTAACCTAGTTACTCTAGCATGCAGTTTTAACCTAGTTACTCTAGCAGGAAACTGCATTTTAAGGTGTTGCATTTAGGCAACTTATAAATTTCAATTTTGGATAGACCACGTCAAAACTACATTTTATTAAGGTAGTTCTTGTGTACTATTATGGAGAGTAATTTGAATTGCATTCATAACTTCGAAGAGCGAAGTATTTCAGTTTACGATAAATCGCAATCCAATGAATGAATGAATGAATGAATAAATAATATTAACATGCAGTATTGGACAAATATTTTAATAGTCATTAATTATAAATGAACTTGAAATATGAAATCTGATCAACTGTATACTAATACAGTCTAGTAACTAAACAATTTTTCAGTGCTCTAGAACTATCGTTACACTAATCTCGTACTCAAATAATCGAACTCTTACCGTATTCCACATGCATTACATAATGGTGTACCGTCTTCTGCGTCCCTCCATAATGGCGTGGACCGAGTGCTACAAGATGCACACTGCTTACCTTGCAAGTTAATGAACATTAGTATTTTAACATACGTCAACAGTATGACCCCTCCAAATTGCAGTTGTTCCTTTAATATTTGTAGAGGGGTTGTTTTGGGCATGTTGTATGCATTAACAAGCGTTTCAAATTGCCAATATATGTCGCCAATCACTAAAATACGCGAGATATTTATGCTATATTAACGAAGCAGGATGCCCATGTACAACGGACGCCAAAAACCCACCCCCTTAATTTTTAGAATAAATAAATTTCACAATTCAAACTGAAGCGAGAGTTTCTATGGTCGACGAAATAATAAAGACGTCACTGCGCACAGCGGTCGCCGATTGTCTTCAACTACCATTGAAATATTTATAAAAATGAAATAAATGGATTTGTTATGTCAATATTACTAAGTATATTCTGATAAAGCGCGTGAGGTAACAAGCACAATAAACTGGCAAAGTCGGGACTTCTTTTTTGTTTTACAAAAAGAAATAATTTAAGTCCTTTTAGTGTGATCACGAAAACTAACGTGACCGCGAAAGAAATCCCCCTTCTTTCGCGGGCACGCTAGTTTTCGCGATCACGCTAAAAAGGCTGAATTGAAAATTTTTTTTTTGTAAAACAAAAATGAAATCCCGACATTGCCAGTCTACAAGCACAGGTGCATGCTTCATACAGACTACCGCCCTATACTTTGTGTTTAATATGTTTGTGCTAGACGACAGTTATGGACATTGAATGTCATTTCTGACTTTGTTTTGTGCGAGTGCTGACATCAACAACACACTTACCAGTCGTTGGTCGGTGTGTTTGGTGATACGTATATGCGACTTTAGTTTCGTGTTCGGATCCACTGCAACTGCTGCCGCTGTCAACGATGTTACTTGACGACCGTCTCATTCGTCCGATCGATAGAGAATTTTCATTTTGTCGTCGTTGACGTTTCCGTACACTATTGAAATATTGGAATAAAAAATATATAGATTATTAAGGAAGTGGTAAAGTTGAAGAGGAACTCAATGTCTTGTTTGATGATGTAGATTACATCGTACGCAGAAAACTAGAAACTCAAAGCGTAGTAACAAAGTTGGTGTCGATCTTTCTAGCACAGAGTTCAATTGGGCCAGCGCTAAACCGCGATTTGTTTGAATGCTTAGTGTTATAGAAACATAAAGAGGTAAGGTAATGTAACCTGTACCCTTCCTAAGTTATACAAACTTTTCTAAAGCAACTTACAATTTGTATATTATTTCTATTACTGTAAAATACTTTTGGAGTTAATTTTCGCTGAACAGACTTTTGGGTGTTTTGTATGGAATATATTTTCACGGCTTCTTGGTGATTTAAATGTAGGAAATATAGGAAAAAATGTATATTCAGCGAAAATAAATTCCAAGCGAACATAAAGTATTTTACAATCAATACCTTGAATTTAATTTAATTTAATTAAAACTCAATTGAAACGCAACCATACACAGAGTTGCATTTTAATCGAATCCATTCCTATACGGGATTTACAATATTATTCAAACCCCCAAATGGCGGTTCAATGGTGCCCCTTCAGTTGGTGCACGGTCAACAGCAAACGATTTATAACTTGCTACTAGTTCTTAGCAGAGTTGGTATAGTGATGAGTGGGGGTCAGCGTTTTTGGTTTGTTGGTGGGAGCACTAAGTTGAATCAACGATGTTTATGGTGTACTGACAATAGACCGCACACACCGGTGTTGAGGGACGGTGTCCTAACGCGGTCCTATAAGACGCAATGCTTGGCTAGTTTGACGAAGTTCTTCATCATAAGACCATCTCTGCATCAAGAGATCTACCACCCAATCCATCCACCCCAGCTCAGTCTGCCGAATAGCTATTTCACCATATAACCCAACGCAAATTGGAATTTGTAGAGGGAGAGGTGTTACTAATGTAAGTGCGTGATTTGAAATACCTGAAAAAGGAGTCAATAACCAGCTGAGATTCCGGTCCCCTTGCTTTTCGCTTTAAGTTTGCTTTCAATTTAAACGTCACACCACGGAATGATGGATCATTTCTCATCGCACTCTTGGATGGTCTCAGAACTTTTCGATTTGATCGTGGTCGCTCCATGTCACCACAATCCGAAACATTGTTTTCTGAGTGGGTATCGCTTGTAACATCGCCACCACTTTCATCTAATTTTCTGAAAATTCAACAAAAAATTATACTCAACTATCGAAATAGCAGAGGGTATATCGATTGCATATTTGTAATTAGTACGTAATGTTTGAAAAACTATGAAAATGGACAACTTTGGATCTGTGGATACAAGTTTAAAGCGTTATTACAAAAAATAAAAATCAGAATGTCCTATTAAATTCACGAAACCACAAGTATACTAGTTTCTACACAACAACTTTCTGTGATTTGAAGATATATTTACAATAGTAATTTCATGAATGTTTGACCCATATCAGTTGCGTGCGACAAAACAGTTCGATGACCATCATAATCCTCATGCTGAATTGTGTGGTCACCTTTTTTACACTGTCAATTGCAAGCAAATTGTGTTTTACTCTACCAGGTATTTTGAAACTTTCTGATCTTTTGGGCAGTGGTACATTTGTAGGATTCTGATGCGAGGGATGTAAGTTGATTACTTCAGCAACTCGAAGTCACGATGAACAAGCTCATCGAACTCGCAGATAGAGTAAACTTAAGATTAAACGCACAAATAACATGAACATTTTTCTTGCGACCATGACCATATGAACAGAAAGAAATTTGTAAGACTTTATTATCTTTGATTTCGCAATCAAAAACTTGAAACGTTCTTAAATACTGTGAAAAGGCACGATTATTAGAAACTAAAAATACATGTACATACAAATTTACTTCGCGATTCCTCGGGATTGTGGTAATTTGAATATTATATTACTGTTTTTGATGCAGAAAATAAAAGTTGTTTTTGCGTTATTTCTCTATCGAGTTCCAGTTTTGAGCTGTACATCCATGTGCGAACGGTAGAAAATTGATATTACTTGTTTATTTGAGAATCGAAAACAGGACTGTCGCGTTGTATTCAGAATGAATGTCGTCTGCTGCAATTATGTGAAAGGAAAAATAAATGAATAACAAAATATATGTTGAGTCGGATTTCGAAAGGTTATTTTTATGATATTTTAAGATGAAATTAACTGCCAACACTTGGAAACAATGAATTAAACACAATCTCGTTAATTTCGTGTCTAATGGTGGCAGACGATCGCAACGAAAAGTGTGATCATTCCGATGACCCAAGTAACAAATTATTGAATTGGTTAATCTAAGTTATGGAATTAATACTACTATTAATCATAACGTATATAATACACGTAGTAGTATTTTTTTGTTTAACTGTGAGCTTACCTGGACACGCATTTACGATTTTAGAGGACAATATCGTTGACATCATGGATCGGATGCAGGGCTTTTTTGGCGTGATTACGAAATGAACGCATGAAACAGAAACGCAAATAAAGCCTGGCTGTGACAATCATCATAACCGAACAGGCAGAAAAGGCAAATAACATAAATAAATAAATTTGTTTGGCATTGGTATATTATTATTCGACTCACCCTAAACTTTTCAATCCAGTTTCTGAAGGATTTCCATTATTGACATTGCAGTCATCATTATGTCCAGTGTTGCATCCACCTTCATTTTTCTCGTAAAATTGATCCGGGCCTGGAAAAAAATTCCTGTACTGCTGTAAATCCGCCAAGGTAAGCCCAGAGAAAATCTTCGAATCGTTTCGATTCATTTTTCGGCAAGGAACCTCGATAATCTTCATGGAAAATCACAGAAGTTACGATTGCAAACTCGCACGTCACTAGACAACTTTGGAGTGTCGTCTATTCAAATTCCGCGCCATTTATAATTGCAGGTGACGTATTAATTATTCATATTAAAACAATTTACATTGACGTAGACAGCTTGAAATGCACAACATCAACACACATCGTTCGACGAATCCAGAGAGGTTATAATGCAAGACACGATTCGAACATAAATAACTTATAGACGGGATCGATACTACACGTTGATTGGTTTAATATGTTGTTTTGATAACCAATCAGCGGCGTTCTAGTTCGACCTGGCGATGTGTAATCCACCAGGTGGTAACGTCGAACCGCTGAAAATTGTTACCCTATTCTTCTCGAACGGTCTGAAAGTACAATGCCCTCGCAATTTGCATGTATCACTAGGACGCACCAGACGATGATTGACCCCAGAAATTAAGGGATTGATTGATTTGAATTCAAGAGGGGTGACTGGAAGGTTTGTTTAAAAATGCAAGCTACACACCGAGAGAAAAAATGCATGAAAGATGTTACAGGGAAAACATATTGGCAAATTCAGGAAAAACAGTTTTTGTTCAGACAAAACACCGCGAAAAAATGCATTGGCCATGCTCTTCCACCCCCCATGATTTCAAATGTTTGACCCCTTATCTTCAACTTTAGCAGGTGGGTATACAGCAAATCGAAAAGTTGACTCTAAAAATAAAGTCGCAATGCCTTACTTGTCGTGGCGAAATGTAACGCCCTCATCGGCAGCGACTAGAGAACCAAACAACCATTCTTCCGGATGGCAACAACAAATTGACAAGTTTACGCTACGCTAATATACATTTTCCGTTATTTAAAGCATATTTTTACAAAATGTGAAAATCGTATTATCAAGGTTAGTAGTATATAGTTTCTATTTCACAGGGGTTATCAAAATTGATTCATATGTACGTGTTTTTAAGCGCTCAATGATCAGTTGCAGTAGCGTTTCTTAGTCTGTGGATCATTGCAGTCAGCCATCGTTTCGCAGTGATCCATGTTTTGACTGACTACCGCTTGAGACTGAATTAAACTAACAATGTGGTTTTAGCTGTAACGAGGTGCTTTCACTGTTTCGCACGTCGTTCGTCTGGGGAGGGGAGCCGAGGGAGGTGGTGGAGGTGGTTCCGATCGAACATCTATAGGTTCAACCGACAAGAAGTCCAATACCAAGAAGTCCGAACGACCTGTCGCCGTACAGGGGTCTTTTTTAAAACCGTGTTTAGAAGCTTGGGTACCAAACTTTTTGAGAGAGGCACCCCTCAGGGTTATTACATAGCTAAGTGATTTTCAGGATACATGATCAAACAATATTGCCTTTTTCAGGGCTGATACACAGTAATGGTCGCGGTACGTACATAGCTGCTATATTCATGCTATACCAAGGCATTGTGATCATCATGTATTTCTCTACAGACTTTGGAGATCATGTAATGATTTTTCATATTGTATGGTAACCTAATGATTTGTCATGGTACTCAAAGTCGGCAAAATCATTATCATTTTTGGTACCTTCTGACTACTGCACAAGCATGAGTAGCCGTAGGCCCGCCCCCCCCACTCCCTATATTTAGGGGGGG